ATTACCTTCGTCACCTCCTCAAAATTCAATTCAGTTAGTAAGATATGACCTGCTAAGCACAAAGCCATGCTGACTGACCCTAATTAGGCCATGCTTTTCCAAATGCACATAAATCCTATCCCTAAGAATTGTCTCCAATAGATTTCCAACTACCAATGTGAAACTGACTGGTCTGTAGTTTCCTGGTAATCCCTATTTCCCTTCTTGAACAGAGGAACAACATTTAGCTATTCTCAAGTCCTCCAGGACCTCTCCAGTGGCCAACAAGGATACAAAGATCTTGGTCAAGGCCCCAGCAATCTTCTTTCCTGCCTCTCTCTCTAACTTGGGGTAGATACCATCAGGCCCTGGGGACTTATCCACCTTAATGTTGTTCAAGAGATCCAATGCCACTTCTTTCTTCATCTTAGCATGCTCGATGCAAATCTCACTATCCTGCATATCATTCTTCTGGATGAATACTGATGCAAAATACTCATTTCGGATCTCAACCACATCCTGTGTCTCCAAGCACAAGTTGTCTCCTTTACCCTTGAGTGGTCCTACCTTCTCCCTAGTTATCCTCTTGTTTTTAGTGTATGTATAGAATGCCTTGGGATTCTCTTTAACCCTACTTGCCAAGGTCATTTCATGGCCCTAAAGTCCTCACAAAACATCTTAACTGTATTTTGATTTTATTTCTTAAACTTTCAGTCTGAGTTTCCTGCAAACATAATATCCTCATTGCATGATTGCTTTTAGTTGTGTACAGCATACAGTTCAACATACCATTTGGATGCTTGTAATTGCACTGTTTTCTTTCATTTTTATTTTCTGGAGGTAGTCATACATACAGAAAAATCATTGTTTGACAACAGTGAAACCTAATACTCAGGGGAAAATGATGTTGGGTCAGCATAGCAAATGTGATAGCGGTGTGCTGAAGACAAGAACATAGTCATTTGCTAAGGTGGGAGTGAGGACGTTGAGGTTGTTTAAACACCATGGCAGGCTGTAGGGTGTAGAGACTTGCAACTGGCAAATGATGCTTTACAATATAGTAAAGGACAGGAGGGTAATGAATCTTACACCTCTGTTCAAGAAAAAGGAACAAAAATTGTCAATTATTTAACCTTGTGTGCAATCTTTTGGTGGAAGTATTAATGGGCACTTAGGGCAAAGGCTAATCAGTGATTTTCAGTATTACTCACTTGGTATGTGGGTCTTGCTGGCTGGGCCAGCATTTGCTGCCCATCCCTTGCTGCCCTTGAAGTTGAGCTAGTACCTTGAATTGCTACAGTTCATTTGATGTAGATAGACCCTCAATACCATTAGGGAGGGAGTACCAGGATTTTGACTGAGTACCACCAAAGGAAGGGGGTAAATTCCAATGAAATTTATTTGAATGGAGTGTGGCGAGGAGGGGAACATGTAGATGGTGGTGTTCCCATTATTTTCTGTAGTATCCTCGCCGACGCTGGCAGTGGCTTTGGAAGGTGCTATCCAAAGAAACTTGGTGAATTTTTACAGTGCGTCTTGCAGAATGTACATACTGCGATTGAGTGTCAGTGATAGAGGGACTGAATGTTTATGGATATGGTGCCAATCAAGTATTGCTTTGTCCAGGATAGTTTCAAGCTTCTTGAATGTTGTTATAGCTGCACTGATCCAGGCACGTGGGGAGTATTCCACCTCACTCCTGACGTGTGGCCATGTCTAAGGTAGACAGACTTTGGGGAGTTGGGAGGTGAGTTACCGCAGGATTACTAGCCTCTGCCCTGTTCTGTTTTGCCACAATATTTATATGCTTCATCCAGTTTCTGCTCAGTAGTAGCCTTTAGGATGTTGATGGTGAGGCATTATGACTGTGAGGCCATTGAATGTCATAGGGCGAAGATTAGAATCTCTCTCGTTGGAAATAGTGTTACGACAGGGGAATGACTGAACCCTCTGATAACTAAAACACAAGCCTCAATCTATTATGACAGGAGCAGGGGTTCCCCTCTAATAATTACCCCCTTAATACTTAGAGAAGCTTGCCTTTCCCCTCATAATCTATTAAAAGAGTGGCTAAAAGAAGGAAAATCCCTGATCTCCACTTTACAAGTAACAAGAAACAATTTCATTATTTAACCCAACATGGAACAAATTAGCAAAATTACTAACGAACCAACAATTCCCCCTTAGACTACTAACCAGTGGGGGAGGAAATGGCCTAGTGGTATTATCGCTGGACTATTAATCCAGAGACCCAGGTAACGTTCTGGGTACCCAGGTTCGAATCCCACCAGGGCAGATGGTGGAATTTTGAATTCAACAAAATATCTGGAATTAAGAATCTAGTAATGACCATGAACCCATTATCGATTGTCAGAAAAACCCATCTGGTTCACTAATGTCCTTTAGGGAAGGAAACTGCCATCCTTACCTGGTCTGGCTTACATGTGACTCTAGACCCACAGCAATGTGGTTGACTCTGAACTGCCCTCTGGGCAATTAGGGATGGGCAATAAGTGCTGTGTAGCCAGCAACGCCCTCATCCCATGAAATGAATTTAAAAAAAACTCCCTAACTGGTCTAAATTCTACTGGAATGCTGTTTAAATAAAGACAAGTCCCACTAATATAAACCCAATTAATAAGAAGCAATAAATTATAACTTTATCTCTCCAAATTTGCACAGACTGTCATCTGGACTCCTCTGTCACCTCCGATCTCTTCACAAACACCTTTCTTCCATTAATACTGCTGTCAGAGATGTGTTATTTCTATAAATTTCTTCACTGAGGACTTTGAGCTAAAGTACTGTGGTACCTTTCTATCATTAGATAGAGCATAGAACATAGAACAGTACAGGCCCTTCGGCCCACGATGTTGTGCCGAACTTTTACACTAATCCTAAAGTCTATCTAACCTCCACCCCTACCTTATACTATCAACCATATGCCTATCTAATAGCCGCTTAAATGCCCCTAATGAGGCCGACTCCACTGCCCTCTGTGGCAATGCATTCCATGCCCCTACCACTCTGAGTAAAGAACCTACCTCTGACGTCTCCCCTATATCTATCTCCACTCACCTTAAAACTATGCCCCCTCGTAATAGCTACCTCCACCCTAGGAAAAAGTCTCTGGCTGTCTACTCTATCTATACGTCTGATCATTTTGTACACCTCTATCACATCACCTCTCATCCTTCGTTGTTCTAAAGAGAAAAGCCCTAGCTCTCTCAACCTTAACTCGTAAGACCTTCCCTCCATTCCAGGCAACATCCTGGTAAATCTCCTCTGCACCTTCTCCAACGCTTCCACATCTTTCCTGTAATGAGGCGACCAGAACTGGACACAATACTCCAGATGTGGCCGAACCAGGCTGGAGCATAACTTCACTGCTCTTGAACTCAATCCCTCTATTAATGAAAGCTAACACACCATACACCTTCTTAACAACTCTATCTACCTGGATGGCAGTTTTCAGGGAACTGTGGACATGAACCCCAAGATTCCTCTGCTCCTCCACGCTGCCAAGAATCT